CAGCCTGGCTCCTGCTTCTGGGTGGCTGAGTCTGCAAAGAAGGTGGTGGGCACAGTGGGAGCTTTGCACGTTGACAATCCTACCTTGCAGGAGAAGTGGCTGAAGCTGTTGCGCCTGGTTGTGGCCTCTGAGCACCGTAATCAGGGCATAGCAAAAGCCCTGGTCAGGACTGTGCTCCAGTTTGCCCGTGACCAGGGCTACAGTGCAGTTGTCCTGGACACCACCAACATCCAGCAGTCTGCCATGGCCCTCTACCAGGGCATGGGCTTCAAGAAGGTGGGCCAGTCCTTTTCCAGTATGAGTGCGAGGCTAGTGGATCTTCATGAAATTTATTTCATCTGCCACCTGCCTTCTGCTTAGGCAGATCTCTTTCCTTTTATGTTAGCCAGGACGCAATCTTCAGTGCTGTAGTAATAAGCAAGCACTGACCTTTCAGTACTGACACAATAAAAGCTCATTGGTCATTCGCATCCAAGTCCCACGTGTCTGGAGGTGAGGTGGCATATGGGGTAATGGTTCATTCACTCTTTTTGGGTCACCACTGTTTTGTTTTCTAGTGTCATGATAGTGTTGCATAGGAAAATACCAGAAGACAATGATAAACATTGCTTTAACTAGTAATGTTAAAGTTTATTTTAATAGTAACATTGCTTTAACATTGCTTTAACGTGAGCCTATGGACCAGCAATATGGGTTGGGCTTGGCTGGGCAGCTCCTCTGGTCTCAGATGGCTGAGCAAACCCTATGGTAACCCCATGGCATTGGCTCAGTGACAGGGCGCCAACTCTTTTGTTTTCCCGAAGGTTGTCTTAGGCATGGTTTTAAGGTAATTGCGGAGGACCAAAACCAGAAACAAGCAACTGCAGTTTGAAGTCCCTGCTGGTGTCCCATCTGCTGACACCCCAGACTCAGGAAAACACTGACCTGGCTCTGCAGTGAGAGGACCTACAAAGTCACATAGCAAAGGGGTGGGCGTGTCATGGGGAAGAATCAGGGCCAGTGACATAGTCATCGTGCTATAGCCCACAAGGGTGTGCAGGGCAAGAAAGTGGTCAGGGATAAAGTGTTGGATCAACATGGGCTTGACCCCTACCTAGCCACAGACCCCAGGCAGGACTGAAGGGAAGCTTGTTACAGGCTCTTCCCCAGTGTTCAGGAACAGGGCATGGGATTGTGTATTTCACACATGTGTCACATTTGGGACTCAGTCTCTGTCCCTGAAAACTCAGGGACTCCAGATTTGTCTAAGTGCCTTGTGCCCAGCCACATCAACCTCTGAGTCTCAGATCCAGTGGCAAGTGAGGACTGGGGCCTGTGAGGATGTTGGTGCATGGAGCCCCTTACCCAGCTAGTTCATCACCAACACTGGGTGCACCCAGGGGTGGGCAGGAGCCTCTCCCTGGATCCTTCCAGGCTTGAAGCCAAGTCCTTTGTTGATCTGGGAAGTCCAGGTGCCCTTTCAGTCAGGTACTTGTTGCACACGGGCCATAACTGGGGGCTTCTGTGGCCCTGGCAGTGTCCCCTGCTTGCGGCTGACCTCTGAAGGTTTTGGCCAGGCCACGCCATGCTCAATCCTGCCAGCTAGTTTTGCAAGTAGGTTTCTACTAAATGGAGACCCTTTGCCAAGAGCATAGGGCAGTTTCAAAGAATAGTGTCTCATTTCCCTGGACCACGGGCCTCCAGTCTGCT